AGTAGTAGAAGTAGTCGTCGTCGTAGTAGTAGTAGTAGTATTCGTAGTAGTAGTAGTAGTCCTCATAGTAGTAGTAGTAGTCCTCAAAGTAGTAGTAGTAGTCCTCATAATAGTAGTAGTAGTAGTAGTAAGTAGTAAGTAGTAAGTAGTAAGTAGTAAGTAGTAAGTAGTAAGTAGTAAGTAGTAAGTAGTAAGTAGTAAGTAGTAGTAGTAGTAGTAGTAGTAGTAGGTAGTAAGTAGTAGTGGTAGTAGTAGTAGTAGTAGTGGTAGTAGTAAGTAGTAGTAGTAAGTAGTAGTAGTAAGTAGTAGTAAGTAGTAAGTAGTAAGTAGTAATAGTAAGTAGTAAGTAGGAAGTAGTAAGTAGTAAGTAGTAAGTAGTAAGTAGTAAGTAGTAAGTAGTAAGTAGTAGTAGTAGTAAGTAGTAGTAGTAGTAAGTAGTAGTAGTAGTAAGTATAAGTAGTAGTAGTAGTAGTAGTAGTCGTAGTAGTAGAAGTAGTCGTCGTCGTAGTAGTAGTTTTCGTAGTAGTAGTAGTAGTAGTCCTCATAGTAGTAGTAGTAGTAGTCCTCATAGTAGTAGTAGTAGTCCTAATAATAGTAGTAGTAGTAGTAGTAGTAAGTAGTAAGTAGTAAGTAGTAAGTAGTAAGTAGTAAGTAGTAGTAGTACGTAGTAGTAGTAGTACGTAGTAGTAGTAGTACGTAGTAGTAGTAGTAAGTAGTAGTAGTAGTAAGTAGTAGTAGTAGTAAGTAGTAGTAGTAGTAAGTAGTAGTAGTAAGTAGTAGTAGTAGTAGTAAGTAGTAGTAGTAAGTAGTAAGTAGTAAGTAGTAAGTAGTAAGTAGTAAGTAGTAAGTAGTAAGTAGTAAGTAGTAAGTAGTAAGTAGTAAGTAGTAAGTAGTAAGTAGTAAGAAGTAAGTAGTAAGTAGTAAGTAGTAAGTAGTAAGTAGTAAGAAGTAAGTAGTAAGTAGTAAGTAGTAAGTAGTAAGTAGTAAGTAGTAAGTAGTAAGTAGTAAGTAGTAAGTAGTAAGTAGTTAGTAGTTAGTAGTTAGTAGTTAGTAGTTAGTAGTTAGTAGTTAGTAGTTAGTAGTTAGTAGTTAGTAGTTAGTAGTTAGTAGTTAGTAGTTAGTAGTTAGTAGTTAGTAGTAAGTAGTAAGTAGTAAGTAGTAAGTAGTAAGTAGTAAGTAGTAAGTAGTAAGTAGTAAGTAGTAACTAGTAAGTAGTAAGTAGTAAGTAGTAAGTAGTAAGTAGTAAGTAGTAAGTAGTAAATAGTAACTAGTAAGTAGTAACTAGTAGATAGTAGTAGTAGTAGTAGTAGTAGTAGTAGTAGTGGTAGTGGTAGTGGTAGTGGTAGTGGTAGTGGTAGTGGTAGTGGTAGTGGTAGTGGTAGTAGTAGTAGTAGTAGTAGTAGGAGTAGTAGTAGTAGTAGTAGTGGTAGGAGTAGTAGTAGTAGTGGTAGTGGTAGTGGTAGTGGTAGTAGTAGTAGTAGTAGTGGTGGTAGTAGTAGCAGTAGTAGTAGTGGTAGTAGTAGTCGTCATAGTAGTAGTAGTCGTCATAGTAGTAGTAGTCGTAGTAGTAGTCGTCGTCGTCGTCGTCGGCGTGCTTGCGTTACAAACAGTCGCACCTTCTCTTGCCTCTCCCTCCTGTCTTTCCCCCCCTACCTTTCGCCCCCCCCTCTCAATTTTCATTGTGGAATATGAATGGAATATGAATGGAATATGAATGGAATATGATTTCATTGTGGAATATGACTGGAATATTGAATGGAATATGATTTCATTGTGGAATATGAATGGAATATGAATGGAATATGATTTCATTGTGGAATATGAATGGAATATTGAATGGAATATGAATGGAATATGATTTCATTGTGGAATATGAATGGAATATGAATGGAATATGAATGGAATATGATTTCATTGTGGAATATGAATGGAATATGAATGGAATATGATTTCATTGTGGAATATGAATGGAATATTGAATAAACCTACCATTGGATGATAGTTGCCACTCACTACTAGTAGTGGTTTTTGGGATGATTTATGGCTTTGGGTTCACCACATGTGAGCTGCAAGGTATCAGAGTATCAGAGCTTTGAATAGCATTGACCCGGTGACCCATGCCCAGATTGGGCATATGGCCAACAAACATGAAGGATGCTACCATAGCTGGGAGATTACTGAAGAGATTTGATAGATAAAATGGTGTTTTTGAGGATTGCCAAACATTGGTGACAGACAAATCCGCACCAACATGGCTGTGCCGGGTGCAAATGGACTGGTTTTTTACGGCCATGCTCCCATCTTTGGACATGCCCACGGGTCCGGGAATGATGGTGATGAGGGATTGAGGTTTTGGGCTACATCCCAGTTCCCTCGTTGTAACACCTTTATTTCACATGATTATTCATGTTGATCCCAAGGTTTCAATCCGGGGAACCGATTTTTTTTGACCCCACCAAATACATAGTACGTCTCAATATGGTAAACCCAATGACAAACAAGAGTTGTGTCAGGTTTACAATCAGTCTGTCAATTATGGTAAATTCATATATTATGTATAGTATACAGTCATACAGTTAGAGATATTTACACATATTATAATACAGGACATCGACATATCGAGAAATAGCGACGGTTTACCTTCCAATCTTCACCGCAGGTGAACGCCGCGGACAATTTGATCCGCGACCCCACCCAGGACATGATCCGCGTAGAGGCGTCACAGCGGGGTGAATCACCAGTTTCTTATGGTGAGCTGAATGGGGACTTCATGGGAGTTACCTTTTTTTTAAATGGGATTTGATTGAATTGGATTTTCTGAGGATCCAATGGGATCGGATGTGAATCACCAACGATCTGACTTGGGATCATCCCAAAATGGGACAGCCTTTTGCGCCCGCGAGTTCGCAGGTGAAAAGAAAGGAGGGATCCATCAGCGTTTGGAACAACGGTGCAGGGTTGCCAGTGCAGGCTCCAACGGGACGTGGGTTGCCATGGCACCTTTCTTTGTCAAAAGCCCAGCGGCGCCAGATGCACCGCGAGCACCAGTGCTACGTGCCCGAGTTGGTGTTTGGCTTGGGCCCTGATGGCATGGGGGCCCCACTCATGGCACATTTCTGAAGTGTGGTGCTTTTTTACAGCTTTGAAAAGATGGGAGGCAGCAGGTGCTTCCACTAGTATCCACTAGTTACAGTCCCATCTTTTTGGCGAATTCTGAGGCCAGTTGTTAACCAGTGACAACTACGATGACAATGAGAAGAAGGTCGTAGGAGGACGCAATGGCGCGGGGCTTAGCTGCTTAGCAAGCTAAGCAGCTTGCTGCGCCGGATCCGGGGTGCAGATTTTTTTGGTTTGATGTGTTGGGTATACAATCGTTATTGACGGAACATTAGTATAAACTAGTATAAACCAACCATGTTATGCAGATTATGATGATGATGATGATGAAGATGATGAAGATGAACTATTCATTTTTTTTTGGACGCCACAGAAGTCGACGCCAAACACTTCAAACCAACAGTGTCCAAGCATGACAGCAGCCCCATTTTTGTTTCCCAGATCCCCATTTTTGGTAGGTTATGGCGCGAAGCTTACCAACATTTTCTCCACCAAATTCCTTCTGGAAACTGCAGACTCCAAGCCTCTCGGCGAAAGGTTCTGGGTGGCAAGGGAGGTGGTATTTTGGAACTTCTGGAGATTCTGGTGGTGTTCAGTGTTCTAACGTACGTATTTGGATCCATCATGTGAAACATGGTTGTAGGATGTTGTAGGACTCTAAAAGCAAATGGTTTCGCCTATTTTTCGGGTTCCACTCGCTGGTGCGGTGAAATCTGAGCGCTGTTTCTGTTCAACTCTGCTGCCAAATGTATCGAGGTTTTTGGATGCTTAGATACTCTGAAAGCTGTCGGATAGAGCTGTACACTGCCGGAATTTCACCAATGATCAAAGACATATCACCCAAATTTGGTGACATTTCTCCCGAGCATGGGAAGACCAACTGAAGACCCACCTCAAACTTGGAGCCAAGGAGTGGCAAGAAGTACAAGCAGGCCTTTGCTAAACTGGGTGGAAAAGCGGATAGCATACCGTGGGGCAATCCGCCGACAAACACGTGGATCTTCGCGAACAAACATGGGTGAAATTCATCAAGAGGAAGTACTTGGATGTCTTGCTGATTGGTTTCAACTTTAGATATATATATATTATAATTTTACAAATGATATCTGATGATATGTAATGATCTATTCATGGTATATTCTGATATAAAATGATCCCGAAAGGCTGAATGTTCCATCGGAAAGGTGGACTCAGTGGGGATGTTGGGAGTAGCACCACTGGTGCTTCCAATCAAATTTGTTAAAGCCATCTCCCTATTTGTTGAAGCCATTTGAAGCCCTAAAAATATGTGGATTCATCTATTGACCATGGCTTCTGAGGGGTGTGAAAAATATGAACAGGGGATGGGATTAATATATATTAATATCACATCAAGCTGGTTAGTTATATGTATCCCGTTAAAGCCGTGTTGATGTAAAGTCTCCCAGTCTCGCCCAACATTTCAATGAATATCCAATATATATATATATACATATATGTATCCATTTGGGCAGATCAATTGAATTCTCCCATTGGAGCTGTCAGGTAGCCTGGCTTCATGGCAATGCTGTTTATTTAGGTTCCGCTTGTTTCGATCCGTCCTCTTGTATCCATTTAGTTTTGGAATGGTGCTTGATAGCTGGGAAAGTCATCTATAGATATCTATGGATATCTATACATATCTATGAATATCTATAGACACATATAAATATGAGTAAATACCTATAAACATCTAGAACTATCTATGCAATATCTACCATCTGGTTATTTAACATAGCCATGGACAATCACCATTTTTAATAGGTAAACCATCTATAGATGGGTCATTTTCCATGGCTATGTTAAATAACCAGAGGGTACCTCCATATTTTTCGAGGGGATTTTCCATGCTCCCGATCACTCTGAGATGTGGGAGAAGAACATGACGCTCTGCCACAAGCCCAGCATCACGGCCAACAAGGAGGGCGAGGACTACACGCAGGCGGGGAAAAGCACCGTGATTTTCCCTACGAAAAGGTGCTCAAATGGCCACAAACCGGGGTGAGGTGGTTGATTTTCCACATCCAGATCATATTGTTGGTTGGCTATGTACCATAAAATACCATAAATGTCCTACGTTTAAACAGGGCTGCTCCAACTTATTGTACACCATGGTTTTTCCCATTGATTGCCGCCATTTTTGGCTGGTCAGGTCACCTTCTTCCCAGACTTCCCTCGCTTTGGGATGAAGGCACTGGAAGAGGACGCCTTCGAAAAATTGCAAAAATCGCTGAGGGGGTTGGGATTTCGACTCGCGGAAGTTTGGGATTTGACCAATTTTGACCAGCAACAACATGATTTCAGCCACAAAAAACCAGGATTGAAACCAAGAAACATGGTGATTTGAGCAACAGACAGGAGGATTTCACCAGGAAAGTTGTGTGGATTTCACCAGCACAGATGAGGAGAAAAAACACCAGCACATGGTGAGCTGGGTGTGTCCCTGTGGCTTTGTCGAGTGGGGACCAATGAATAATGGCTACCCTGAACTTTATGACATTTCATGGGTAAAAGGAGTTATTTTAAACCATGGCCCTTGGGGTGTACCTTGTTTTCAGGCAACCTCGTTGGCGACTATCCATGACGAAGTGCTGGTCGTTTCGTCCAGATCTCTTGTTTTCCATGGGTTTTTTGGGGATCACATCATCCCGGTGCTTGGAGGGTCATCGTAAATGCTTAGTGACATGGTTAGTGCTCGTGGGCTATAAAAAAATCCAATTGTAAATGGGATCACCATCTGGTTATGACTAACAGTTCGCCATGGAAAATCATCACCATTTTTAAGTTCGGTAAACCACCTATAGATGGGCCATTTATTTTCCAGTAAACCATCTATTTCTATGGGTCATTTTCCATGGCTATGTCAGTCATAACCAGAGGGTAACCGGAGAACCCAAAAAGGGCACTTACCAAGTTGAGCGATTTACCAGGACATTGTCGCATTGATGCGGCGGCGTGTTGGGGGCTCTCAGCATCGTCCAAAACATGGTTTTTGTGTGTGATATGTTGTGATAAGGATAAGAAGAATACCAAGAATAGGATGGGTAATCATTGATGATAGTTTTATGCATTGTGATAAATTTGATGATAATCAAAATCACAATGAACAATCATAATGATAATCATAATGATAGGATGGGTAACATTTTGTTTTTGTTTTTTCTATTGTGTCTGGGGAATATTCTAAATGTACCCAAACCAAGCCAAACTAGTTTTGGCACCTGCAATGTTACTACTCATAGCACTTAAGAAAAAAGCTATCGAGCCCCCTAATTAATCATAATCATACTAATGCTTATACACGTATACTGCTCATATGTGTATATATATATATGCTATATGCTGTATATATATATATAGATATGTAACATATATATATATATACACAGTATACGCAAGAATCATATTCCAATATAGATCTCATCATTTTCCTGGCGATGAATTCCTCCACTTCTCGTTGTTCGTCGCGACGTTAGGCCTTTGATGTGGCCGCCTCCACGCGGGAGCGCTGCAAGGTGGTCCTGGATGGCAAACTGCTGGAGGTGTCCTGCTTCCAGGCGCCCTGGGGACGGGGATACCGTTGATTGGTGATGATTACCCTCTGGTAAACCATAGGAAAACCATAGGAAAACCATAGGAAAACCATAGGAAAATGGTGGTTTAATGGGATTTAATGGGATTTTTTATTGGAATTTCCCCCCAAAATGGAGGTAAACCCTAAAATGGGGATTCCAACATAAACCATATTTACCCTCTGGTAAACATGCAAAAAGCTATTGAAAATGGCCATCTATAGTTGATTTACCCATTAAAAATAATGATTTTCCATGGTTATGTTAGTTTACCAGAGGGTAGTTCGGGGGTAACAAACAAGATCAACAAGGAGGCTCTGGAAAATTTCTGGATTCTGACATAATACTTATATAGACCTATTCATCAACCAGAATTTTCCAAACATGGAAACATCTTTCCACTTTCAATGGAGTCATTGCAGACACTGCCAGTTTCAAGGGATGAGTGTGGGAAAATGGTCCAAAACCTGGTCTTGGTTGGACCCCAAAATTGCAGGGAATCCCCCAAATGTTGCGCCCAATAGTGGGTCCCCAAAATGCATAGTGAATAGATCGAATACTCAACCAAGGTTTCGTTTGGGGGGTTTCAATATTGGGGGGAAGGGATTGACGTAATACTATTTACAGTAATACCCATGATTATTCCATGCATATCACCATAACATGGTTGAATCCCCATGAATTTTATCATTTGATCATTTGCCCGTATGGCCTGCGACGCTGGCCCTCGCAACTCAGGCAGCCCGTGCGTAAAAAAGATCATTTGCCCGTGTTTCATTGGTTAAAATGCGTTTCTTGTTGGTTATATGTTATATTCCATTATATAATTCCCGATGAAATCACCATTAAATCCCATTCGATACATTTAAATCACCATAAGGTCCCATTCAATCCCATTAAATCACCAGAAAATCCGATTAAGTCACCATGAAATCCCATTAAATCACCATAAAATGGTGAAATCCCATTGGGTGTTCCATCCAAGAATAGTCCCACATAGCCAGGACTATGTGGACCTTTTCGTGAAGCCTGAGGCCTTCCGCGCCTGCCAGGCGTGGATTTTTGTTTTGACCATCCAGCAGGAAAATATATGTCATCTATGTATTTTGATTTATATATATATAACATATATATATATATAGATAGATATTGACCAGGGTTGCAGAGTAGTTTTTCAAGTTATTTTCCTTTCGATTCCGTGATTCGGCCATCGAATTCTCCAGGGAGCGAGTTTTCCCCATCCATTGGCACCCATCATTGGAACCCAGTATTGTAATCCGTCATATCCCATAAACAAAAACCGTTACATCCCATTTACAGTAAAAGCCCATTACATGTATATATATATATATATCTATTTATATATCTCAGTATATTAAGCTTATTACATACAATTGCGTCCCGTTATATCTAATTATATCCAGTTATATTCCCATTTATCATATTTCCATATTATTGTTTGAGAAAGGAATATTCTGGATATTCCCGATATTATGGTTGGTTATATGTATTCCCAATCCAATTCTATTCCATATTCATACATATATATGTATATATGTATATGTATATTCATTCCTTCATATTATGTATGATTCGCCATGAACTTCTTCGCCCTTTTTTTTTCATATGGAATATCGACGGCCCTCCAGGTAGTGAACGATCGCTGGGAAGTGGCCTTGGGCCTCACAGACGGCTCCGGCTTCCAGCAGGCGAAGGGGCCAGCAGCGATCCAGCCATTGAAACAGGTACCCTGTAGCGTCCCAGCTGATAGTGGATGGTTCATAGTGGTCAATAGTGGTTAATAGTGGTTAATAGTGGTTAATATAGTGGTCAATAAGGGTTAATTCATAGTGGTCAATAATGGTTAATTCATAGTGGTCAATAGTGCTTAATATAGTGGTTAATAGATGTTCATAGTGCTTATTGATCGTGGTTGATGGTGGTTAAAGGCTAATCACGGCGAATAAGTGTTTATTTACATTCAACAATTGGATTTAATGGGATTTAATGGGATTAAATGGGACCGGAATTATAATAGGATAATCAAACATGGCTAGCTGGGAAATCCCTGAACTCAATGGAGGTCTCTAGCTGGGAAAACCATCGAACTAAATGGGTGATCTTGCAGCAAATCATGTTTGATTACCAGGGGGTAAGGGTTAATCACCTATCCAGTGGTTTTCATGGAGCGGTTTTTTGAGCGATTGGGCTATCCATATTCCCTGTTCAACGGGGAGCTAAGGAGCTACGAATTGAGTTTCCCAACCACACAATTTGACCTCACCATAGATGATGGGCCTTATCTATTTCAGGTCAGTGCATTCATGATTTAGACGGTGGGAAAATCAACTGGAAGCCATTTGTTGTGTGGTTGTGTGAAATATCGGGGCTTCCTGTATTGTGACTAACATGGTTTATCACTCATCTTTTAACAACTATGGTCGACTATGGTTGTAGGAAACCATGGTTAGTCTCGGCATCACCATGGAGGTGAGCTTTGTGAATTCCATCAACACCTCCCGTGGTGGGACGCACGTCTCGTATATCACCGATCAGGCTGAGCTGCTTCAGAGCTTGAGATTTTTTGGGATTTACCCTCTGGTAATTTAACATAGCTATTGAAAATGACCATTTATAGTGGAATTTCCCATTAAACATGGTGATTTTCCATAGTTATGTTAGTTTACCAGAGGGTACTGGGATTCCTTGGGATTTAAGAGGGACTTCAATGGAATTTAAGGAGGATCTTCTGGCATATAACCAATAAGATTGGGAGTTTAATCGACACAATTGAGGGGAAATGAATGGAAATGATGATATTGATGGGTTTTTTTTTGTGGTGATATAGAATGGGATACAATGGTGATATTTCATGGGATAAAACTTTAACCAAGAATCATGGGGGTATACTGGGTCCCAGAAAGAATGATGGGATACTGTAATGGGGCTAACCCCTCTTCTTTCTTGGAAATTAATAAATTAATAAATTATTCTTGTTGGGTTCAGCATTTTGATCGTCGAAGCCCCCCATGGATCGGGATCCTGGAGGTGGTCAGCGCTGTGTTGGAGAAGATCGGCAAGCAGAAGAATGGAGGCGGAATCCTCGGATTTCGCAGGGACTTCGTGGGATTTCATGGTGATTTCAAGGGGTTTCATGGGATTCAATAGTGATTTAATGAGATTTAATGAGGATCTACTGGGAGCCAACAAAATTGGGAGTCTTGAATTGAATGCCTGGGTGAAAGGGAACAGCTTGTAGTACTTCGTAGGGCTGTGAAGCGTTCTTTCGATATTTGCAGCGTAAAACATCGCAGTGATATTTTCTAAGGGGTAAAACCGTACAACGACCGGAGATTCACCACTTTGGATGATTTTCCATCTGATGATTCAACCGGGCCCACCACTCGGAGATCCAGTGCAGGTCAATTGGCTGTGAAAAGTCAGCATGTGAAGAGCTACTTGTGGGTCTTCATCAATTGCTTAGCCGCTCGGATGACCGGATGGACCGGATGGACCGGATGGACCGGATGATAGATTCAGGTTACGCCCGGAAGGTAAACCTGGTTTGCTCATCAAGCTCAGGAAGTCTGAAATCATTCAAACTTACATATCTATCATATCTATATAATTACATATAATATATATATATATACATACACAGTATTTATATCTAAGACATATAAAGAAATCTATCATTTTTTTTGCCCTCTGTTCGGGTGCACCTCCTAAGGGCTTGCAGCTCTCAGCAGCTAGGTGGAGAATCCAGCCTTCGACTCACAGACCAAAGAAACCTTGACCAGCAAAAGGGAAAGGCTGGGGCATCCGCCGCCGATGGGCCCGATGGGCAGATGGGGGATTTTTTGGCGTCGAAGATGCGACATGGCTGTGTCTGATGGGGCAGACTCCGTAATGGCAATTTCGAAAGTCATAGGAACCATAATGACACAGCTGCGGATTGGCATCAGAGTTGGGCCAAACGGGTTCGGAAATGTGCCAAGTGGCTGTGATAGAGGAGTTTGATCTAGTTTCATTTGGTGGCTTGATGTCAGGAATTTGACAGAGCCATGGCATTTTGATGAAGGGAGGGTTCCAGTAGATCTCATCTGAAAGCAATTCTGCCATGGATTTGAAGAGAGATTGTTATAGCCTTATAGCAGTTGTAGATCTAGGAATCTGTTTGGAGCATGGAAGATTCATATATTTATTATATTTATAAACGACCTACAATTTCCTTCAACAGAAGTTTTTCATTGGAACCTTGCAAGGTTCCAGTGTGGAACAAGGCAGCTCTGGCACCAGATGTGCAGGTTTGGTTCGGCTTGCCGCCTACCTGAAGATCTGCTTTCAGAGGCTCTCCTTCAACTGCGTCCTTTTAATAACTTCAGAGGGGCTGACGGAGAGAGTTTCAGTGTTCTGGGGCGGTGCGAGACAAATATGGGATGGTTGAAGTTGAAGAGGTTTGATATGACAGACATGACAGACATGTTTCTTTCTTTGATATGTAGAGTTTTCTGCTTTTTGAAACCACGGACATGGGAATTTCTTTCCCCTTTCTTCACCAGGTCTTAGAGAGTGGACTGTTGGAGTCCCTCCAGGATTTCCGGGGGCGGGAATCTACTAAGAGGTTGGAATTTCTGGTGGGATTTCATGGAATTGAAGGGAATATTTATGGGATTTCATGGGACTTACCGGAATTTAATGGGTTTTAAAGGGATTTAATGGGATGTAATTCGATTTAAGGATATTTTTTTTGTTTGTTTTAGGACATAGAATCGGATCCAATTGGTGTACTCGGATTCAGTTGCCTTCAATGAGATACAATGGGATACAACTTAACTCATCAACAGTATCTTTCCGTTTTTGGAAACAGGATACCCGAAAATCCCATGGGTTTTACCGTAGGGTCCCACTCAAATGACACTTTGAGTTATGCCTTATTTTAAGATACACACAAATGGCAGTGTTTCAAAACTGAATCATGTAGTTTGAAAGATAACCAAATCCATAGCCCCTGTGGGACACTATCTTTGAGCTGGCCCGAATGGTTTCTGCTTCGTGTAACTCTTCATCCGTGTTTCACTACAGTCTCAATTAAAATGTTTGAAATCTCTCCCCCATTGGAGAGAGCATATTTTTTCGGGATTGGAACCCTATCTCGTGAGTTTTCCTCTCTTTCGGTAGGTTTCAACATCAGATTTTCCAAGCTGCAACGGAGGGCATGAAATTTCCATGTCACAAAGCAAACAAATTCCAAAGTACAGAAATCAATTGATCCGAATCTTTGGTCCCTTTTTTATGGCTAGGAGTGGTCCAAAGCCATGGGAAAGAGCGAGTTGGCTCAACACCTGAATCGCAGCGACCTAGGCTCCGGCTCCGTGGTATCCAACTCTTGGGCATAAAAATTGTCGTGGCAATTGGACGTTGTGTGCAGCGATTTTTGCAGACCTTGTTGAACATGGGAAAATTTTCCTTTGTCGTTTGTTGGTTTGTCTGAACATGGGCTGCCCTGGTTTTTTTTTTCCTGGTTAATCATGTTTTTTTTTGCAATGTAAGTTGCCTTTTTTGGTATGCCGTATACCAAGCCTTCAGGTTGCCTTTAAACCCTTCAGGTTGTCCATCTCCCAGCCGTTTTCAGGTCTGCAGAAGCGGCTTTTTGGCGTGCCCAAATTGGAAGATGCCAACATGGCAGGAACCAAAGAGGCGTGACGGGAGCCAGCCTTGCCCTTGGCACATGACATGTAGGGTCCTAAGGGTTCTGCAGCTTGAAGAAAAACCCATGTATTTTTTTGGTTGTCTTGATCGGTTTCCATCCCGAAAGACTGTGCTGTGCCCAACTTTTCAGGGATGATCCCAAAGTTCCCCTCGCCGCAGGGGCACAACTGCACCTTGATCTTGACCGAAGGAGACTCGGCGAAGGTGCCGTAAAGGGTCCTGTGCTTGGATGCATCCCCATGAGGAATGGACAACACTATCATGCTTCCACCTCAGTCTTCAGTTAGATTGGGGGATATGGGCTAATTCTTGGTTGGGTTATGATTGATAGTTTCATTTTGCTAGATACCCCTCTTTAGATCTCTTTAGTTCCTCTTCCATTGTCTCTTTTATCACTTAAACTCAATTTTTCATTCACTTCAATCGCATCTTTGTCGGTTTTACTCTCCGCTAATCAACCATGGCTTGCTGGAAAATCCCCCAGCAATAGTTCAATGATCTAGTGATCTAAATTTCCTATATTTTTCCATCTTTTCCTATATATTTCCCATGAAACCATCAATTTTGGCTCGCTTCTCCCATGATCCTCCAACTAACAACGGCCAGTTGTGGCCCTCCACAGGCCCTTGCCGTGGCTGGTCTCTCCGTGCTGGGCCGTGACCGCTTCGGTGTCTTTCCCTTGCGTGGGAAGCTGCGCAATGCCCGGAGACCTAGGCAGTTGCCTGAAGGTTTGCATTGCCGAGGCAGTTAACCAAGCCTTTGGCTGGATTTAATAGGATTTTGTAGGGATTTTATGGAGACTTATATAACATGGATATAATTATAATTCTAATTTTATGGGATTTTATGGGGACTTAATTGCGTTTTGTGGGACATAATTGTGATTGAATGGGGATTTAGTAGGATTATATAGCGATTTTTTAGGATATGATTGGAAGCTGCGATTCGAACCCACCAAAATCAAACTCAGAATAGCTCTGGATTTCTTTGAGGATCGATTTCAGTACGTGAGTACTGCGGCTTCCACTCACCTCCAGGGACGGTCATTATCCCCAGTATTGACGGTCGCACTCCCGTCATTTGCCGGCTACACAGCCAATCTTTTTGGCCGGTACAGCACGAGATAGGTACAGCGGGAGAAAATTTGGGGCATTTTGTGTTGATGAAATTCACATGGTGAGATCCTTGGTTAAGATAAATAGTTTGCAACGTTAGGACAGTATTTTCCACCCCAAATTTCTTGGGGAAATCTCCAAAGTCATCAGGTGAGGGAGCTGACCGTGAAGCAAATGCTGGAAAATAAGGAGATCGATCAGGTGCTGACTCAGATGGGCTGTTGGAATGACGACCCAGCAAGGGGATCTATATATATATATAATAATTTTTGGTGGTACAACGGAATTTTTGTGGTACAGTGGGGATTTTCTGTGGGGACATGGGATACGTCATTAACCAACTTGATATGATATGATAGTTGGGTGTCTCTGAAATTGCCACCCAGTCAACTGGTCATTTAATTGGGAAAAGGATGGATGGAAGTCAGGCCATTTGTTTTTTGGGGCTTCCCAATTTCAGACGAACTCTTGCAAGAATCCCATGAAATCCCATTATATAATATTATATATATCTGCAGATGTCTAGAATCACATTCTTAAATACACATCACGAAGACATATGTATAATTGTGTATATATGGATATGGGTATATATATATATGGATATGGTTATATATATATATGGATATGGATATATATATATATCAGATACCAAGTTCTCAATATATATATATAATACACATCTTCAAGATATCCACAAATAGCCCAGATATATCAACTAACAAATCTCCAGGTCTTGAAGATCATGGCCTTAGATGCCACCAAGGCGCGGCAGGGCCGGGAGGGTTGCCTTGTTTTTTTTGGGTGGATTTCGGGTGGATCTTGGTGGAATTGCTGGTGGATACTGTATGATGTTATGTGGATACCCTCTGGTAATTTAACATAGCTATTGAAAATCATCATTTATAGTGATTTTTCCCATGAAAAATGGTGATTTTCCATAGCTATGTTAGTTTACCAGAGGGTATATTCTGAAATTCTGCATTTTTGAGAGGATTTTGGCAGGGTGGATTGCGAGAATGACTTCGGATGGGTCCTAGAAGTGCGTGGACAAGCTCAAATTATTTGAAACATGCGCCCGTTCAGATCAGGGGGCTTTTACTGTAGCACCTCTTTGCTTTCCCCATCCAACTTTTGATGATCCCCTAAGAACTATTAAGAACTTAGATATTTTGAGGGAATGCCGGAATGCCTCACCACCAGCTTTGAAGCTGCGCAGCCGCTCGCTTCGCTAAGGAGTATCAAGATGCCAAAGGCCTCCGCTATGGACTGGAACCTCAGAGTTCGATCGAATTCTGGCGGATTCGGGAAGCGGTTGAAAGTAAAACTTGGTGACCTCACATTTTAATTGATATATATATATATATATTTTGAGCTTGCCAAATGTCGGTCGACCATTGATGGATTGTCAATCTTATGGAGTTTCCATTGCACTCCCAGTGAGACTTGCGACATTGGTACGTTCCAACTTTGGGGCCTTCCATTTGGTCCAGAGTCCAGGTGTAACTTTCAATGGCCTGAGGTTCCATCATGATCATGACGGATCAGGATCACGATGGCTCGCACATCAAGGCCCGGTGGGGCCCGGGTCGAAACGCAGAGCTTGCGGCAGCAAGATTTTAATGTGCCTGGTCAGGGGCTGATCATCAACTTCATTCATCACTGGTTTCCATCTTTGCTGAGGCGCGACCAAACGCCGGATGAATTGGAGAATTGGATTGGACGTTTCCAGCTCCTCAAAGGATCCCTTTGGTTGATGGTGCAGTACTTTCGATTGTTAGTTGAAGTTGGTTACAATAGTGTGTGTATATATATATAGATTTATATATGCTATAATATATATATATATATGTATGTATATATATGTACATGCACATATATATATATATATATGTATAACGGCTGTATATATATATACATATGTATATATATATATAATGGATGGTTGGCTAGTTGATAATTCCATGAATCACCATTATGAATCACTATTGACCGATATTAACCTTATTAACTATTATTAACCATTACTGGTTACGTCTCCAGCTTTCTTCGTCCATGGCTCCCCAACGCCAGGCTTCCAGGCTTCCTGAAGGAGTTTGTGACGCCCATTGTCAAGGCGCGGGGAAGGTTTCTGTGAAAAATCCAACTTGGGAGTAATAGGAATGTGACCATTGGACATATCTTTGAATATAGAAATTATAGAATCCCTGGAGTATTCAAATATCTTCAAACACTCTGTTAAATATCAATACTATGTGAATAGTGGAGTCAGGAAAACCGGCGTGAGATATTGTATATTAAAGGGTTTACTAGGGAGTACCAGTTGAAAAACAAAAACACCAGGGGGAGCATCCGCCAGGTGACCAAGGGCGAGGACACCCGGACCTTCTTCACGCTGCCCGAATACGAAGCCTGGAAGGAGGTGCGCGGGGCCGCTCCCAGTGATGGGGGAAGTGGAAGTGACCCAGAACCACTAAACAGCCCCAACATGTTTTTTTTTTCCGCCAATGATAGCTGTTTCCAGGGTGAAAATGCTGATCATTTGAGAATGTCGGATAGCCTATTTTCAGACAAACCCATATATATATATATATATACGTATATATGTATATATATATAACGTAGATGGCATACATAGAATACAGAATCGATAATTTCGGCCTCCAAAAGCATCTTTCGGAATCGAAAAAAAAACCTATACATAGAATATTTCCGGCTATCCATTTTGATCCGGGATTTTTTTTTTCTCAGGTTTTGCTGGATTTCTGCAGCCGCCCGTGATTCAAGCCCGTCCGACCTTTTTATATTGTATTAAAAAAATGAGTTTTTCAGGCTCACCGAAGGGTACCCCCCACGACTGGTGTCGTAGAACTATGAAAAAAAACTATTTTGCAATGAAAACCAATGGAATTGGGTGGTGTTCCTCAAAAAATTGATGAATATGTTCACTGGGGACGTATATTCTATGTATGTAGTTCTGCAAGGAATTGGGTCTCTTTCATGTATAAGAGTATATATCATTTATGTAATTCCCTTTGGGGAGTAGCAACCCTGGATGTCTGAAGTTCCTAAACTAGAACGCTTTAACAAAAAAACAGGTCACCCGAAATGACCAATTTCTTTTTATATTGTATTAAAAAAATGAGTTTTTCAGGCTCACCGAAGGGTACCCCCCACGACTGGTGTCGTAGAACTATGAAAAAAAACTATTTTGCAATGAAAACCAATGGAATTGGGTGGTGTTCCTCAAAAAAATGATTCATATGTTCACTGGGGACCTATATTCTATGTATGTAGTTCTGCAAGGAATTGGGTCTCTTTCATGTATAAAGGCTTTATAAGGGTATACATTATATACGTAATTCCCTTTGGGGAGTAGCAACCCTGGATGTCTGAAGTTCCTCAACTAGAACATGTCAACAAAAAAAACGGGCACCCCGAAATGATCAATTTCTTTTTATATTGTATTAAAAAAATGAACTTTTCAGGCTCACCGAAGGGTACCCCCACGACTGGTGTCATAGAACTATAAA